TAACAATATGAACATCATATGCAATATCTGGACGAGTAATAGTGAAATATATCAAGCTCCCAACAATAGTACGGTATAAAGTAGGTCTAACAAAGGTAAACCATCAGAAGAAGAATATTTTGTGTTAACCTCAATGGGAATATCTATAGTCTTATTATCAGTAAGTCTAGCTCGCTCAAGCATATCTGCAACATATTTTGACTGAAAAAGAAGATAACCTCTGGGTGAGCAGGCTACCTCAATACCCAAAAAATATCGTAGAGAACCCAAATCCTTCATTTCAAACTGTCTAGCTAACTCTATCTTCAAAACTGAAATATCATACCATACTGTTGAGAGTACCCTTTTGCAACCAACCTAACTTTGTATCGCTTAACAGATCCATCAGAATTGGTCTTAATCTTATACACCCAACGACAACCAACAACACTCTTACTAGGAGGTAGAGGAACCAAATCTCAAGTATCTGTCTTATGTAAAGCAAAAAGTTCCTTATCCATAACTTGTTGTCAAAGAGAGTCAAAAATTACCTCTTTATAGGAAGAGGGCTCAGAAAGACAATGAATAGAAGCTAAAAAGGAAGTAAAAGATGAAGAATAACAAGAAAAAGTAAAATCTGGTAATTTTGTGGACTTACGAATACGTGTGGATTGACGTAAAGGTAGATTCACAATCTCAGACAGAGCTTGAGGGACCATAGGAGAGGAGGTAGCTTCAGGTGTGCTAGAGAGTAAAGTGTTAGTACCTATAGAATGATCAGTGATGGTATTTGAAGTACTAGAAACCTGAGATGACAAACTATCAGAATCCTCAGAAAAAGGATCTATACGAATAAGATCAGATCTAGTCAAGCTATATAAGTAGTGGATGGAATTGAAAAGAAAGGTATATGCTCAAGAAAAATAACATAATAAGACACATAAAGTTTTTGAGTTATTGGATCAAAACAACGATACCCTTTTTTACCTTCACCATAACCAAGAAAGACACAAATAGCAGATCGAGAGGACAACTTGTTGCGTTCAACATGAGGACGAAGAACGAAACAAGTACAACCAAAAACACTAAATGAAGAATAATCAGGGGCATACCCATACAATTTTTCGAAAGGAGAAACACCTAAATTATGAGAAAATGGAATTGTATTAATCAAACCTACAGCAGTAAGAACAACTTCACCCCAAAACTCACTAGGAATAGACGAAGACAACAAGAGAGAACGAGCAGTTTCAACAATGTGCCTATGTTTTCTTTTAACAACACCATTTTGTTCACGAGTATCTGTACACGAAGTTTTGTGAATAGTTCCATCTAAGGCAAACAACTCATCAAATTTATTAGAAGTGTATTCCCCACCCAAATCACACCTAAAACATTTGATAACAGTAGAATGTTGAGTTTTGACAAGAGCTTGAAAGGCTGTATATATCTCAAAGGATTCAGAACGATGTTTCATTAAATAAATTCAACAATAGCGAGTATGATTATTAATAAAAGAAACATAATATCGAGACCTTTTTTTTTTGGCGACAGAAGAAGGTCCCCATACATCAGAATGAATCAAATCAAATGGCGAAGAAGAAACATAAATATTTCGATTAAAAGGTAAAGCTGAAAATTTTGCCAGTTTACATCCACTATAATCAGAAATATCACAATTTTGTAAATTTCCTAAAGCCCCTGTGGATGCCAAAAATCTCAAACGAGAAGACGAAACATGACCTAAACGAGAATGCCATAAATAAAAACTAGAAGAAGAAAGATTTAAACGAAAAGAAGATAAATCAATAGTAGTAGCAGCAGCAGCAGCAACTGACACTTTTAACTCATCCAAAATATATAGTCCCCCCTTCCTACGGCCTGTCCCAATCAACTTCTGAGACTACAGATCCTGTATAAAACAAGAAGAAGAGGAAAAGGTGACTAAATTTTCAGGATCACATAACTGACCAACAAAAGCAAAATTTAATGTGAGTTTTGGAATATGATAAACATTAGGGAGAGACAAGTAAGGTGTGACAACAGAACCAACACCTGCTAAAGACATATGAGTGTCATTAGCAGTCATAACAGGAATAGAAGATGAAGGAGATACAAAAGCAAAAGATGAAGAATCTCGATACATATGATGTGAAGCATCAGAATCCAAGACCCATACAGAATGTGACATACCTGGAGAACTATGAGGCAACTGACCTCCTGAAGAAGAAGCAGACATAGCTTGTGGCTGTAAGGAGAGAAACTTCTGAAATTGCTCAGCCAAGGTACTAGAATCGATGAAAGGACTTGATGAAACTATTGCTGCAGTATTAGGCTGTGGTAGTTTGTAACCCTGCGGTGGTCTAGAAGCATTAGATTGTGACTGGTTGCCAGACTTCCAAGCTTGAGATTGCTGCTGCGATTGATTCTGTTGTCTTAACTTAGGACATTGAGCCTTCCAATGACCTTTTTGCTTACATAAATTGCACTCATTGAAGGCAGGCCTTGTGTAAGGCTTATTCTGATTATGAAAGAATGATTTAGAAGGTACTGCTAGCACAGAAGGATCAGAAGTAGAAAGAATTTCCTTGTCAGAATAAGACTTAAGACATATCTCTTCAACCAATAGCTCACTGACAACTGAGTCAATAGAAGGAAGTGGAGAACGATGTAAAATTGAACGTATAAGTCCTTCAAAATCATTACGAAGTGCCATTAAAAACTATACCAATCGTTGCTGCTCTCTACGAGCAATATAAGCACCACATGCCTTTAATTCAGCCGATTCTGTAAGAGCCAATTGATCCCAAAGATCTGTCATAGTAGAATAAAACTCCTGAATACTCATATTCTTTTGCTGAAGAACTCGTATGTCATGCTCCAATTGATACTGTTTTGCAAAATTTGATTCAATGAATAACCTTTGTAGATGATCTCAAACCTCCTTTACTGTCTCATACTTTGCCAACTGCGTACCTATAGAATACTCAACAGAATTGTTGATCCAAGGAATAATTTTTGCATTGTCTGCTTCCCAGACATCTATCAAATCAGCATATCCTACATCAGTATTTTTTAGGTTTCACAGAAGCTCTACTAACAAATCCCCATAGCTTTTTACCCTTAAGAAAATTTCTGATCACATAATTCCAATACGAATAATTCTTTCCATCCAACCTCACACTCACAAACTGAAGCGAATCATCTCGCGTAAACTATGTTTGAGATTAAGCCTTATCCCATGAAACTTTGCTTTGATACCATGTTGAACAATCTAAAGAAATACAAGAGATAAGAAAAGAGGAGGCTAGAATTTTATTGATACTACATAATTCAATTGAATACAAGGAAATAATTTAACCTAAATACAAAGAGACTATTGAAATTCCTGGAGAGTTATACATTTGTGTATTGATAAGACCGTTCACTATTTCTTGAAGCTCGATCTCTCCCCCGGATGAACCATATAGCCAAGAGAAACCATGAACCATAATAGAAGAGCTTGCCCCACCCATGAGTAAATATTTCATAGTAGCCTCATTAGACCGTATATCTTTCTTGGTATATCCAGATAATAGGTAGGAGCATAAACTGAAACATTCTGGAGCTACAAAGATAGTTATTAAATCGTTAGCACCACATAAACAAGACAGGGAAGTAAATGACTATTCTACCCTTAATAAACAAAATAACCCTATATTTCTTAACAGAGAGAACTTCAAATGAGATAACTGTAATAAAAAGCTTTTTGCAGACTCTTCCATTGACATTACTCCTAAAATCTATAACGTTGTTAAGGAATTTGTTTTTTATCTTATGCCTCTAAAATGTTAGTGTAGTCAATATTTTTTGGAAAAAAAAATTTCATCAAACTTTGATTCTCTCTTTGCTACAATATTCAGTTGATTCTTTGCTTAGTTTTGCAATTGAGACCTAGTTTTTTTGGTCATAGTAGCTACAAGGGAAGGGACCGATGCCTCTTAAGTTTCCACTAGTCGTGAGCTTAATTCGCAAATTAGAAGAGGTTAAGTGAAATTTGTAATAATTGAGGGATGCAATGTGCAATTGATATTAAGTTTAGGTATGTTTTGTGTTATTAACCCTATTCTCAAAAAACTAAACGGTTCAAACCAATTTGGGAAAAAAAAACACAGTTTTAAAACCCAACTCAGTCCGAAGGGCTTACTTAGAAACTCGGTGACCTGAACCCTAAATCTAGCTGGTTTATTAATTCGACCGTTTAAGCATAAAATCCGATAAAAATTCATTGAATCGGACGATTTTTAAATAAACCGTTTATACTTGGCTGGTTCACTTTAAGTCCCATATAATCAAAGTTTTTTGGGCATTTGGGCATTTTTGCCCTAATTCACTAATCAAATCCCTCCTATCTCTCGCTCTTTCTCTCGCAGACTGTCTCTCAATCATCTCTCTTGCAAATCAAATCTCTCAGCCTCTAAATTGTCTACTCTCATTCTCTGATCTCTCGCTCTTTTCTCTCGACCGTCTCTCTTGTAGATCAAATCTCTCAGTCTCTAAATTGTCTAATCTCCTTCTCTGATCTCTCGAAATCTCTGTCGACTGTCTCTGGCGAGTTATCACGCTCAACCACTCACCAATCACCACACCAAAAGGCAACTGGGAGTGGGTGATCATACATTGTTTCAGTTGGTGTTTTGTTTGATCACTTCTCCGAAAGACAGCATGGTGTTTTGTGCTACATACATAGTTTCAGTTGATAATTTTTGGCTTTTTGTTTATTGTAATATATATTAAATGTATTATTCTTATAATTATTATATTTGTTATCATTGAAAATTATTTTTTATCTTTTTATTATATGATTGATTCGATCAGTGATTCAACAACGGTTGAACTAATGATCCGCTGATCCAATATTTTTACCGGGCCGGGTCTTTAAAACTTATGAAAAAACATATGATGTGTTCGAAAGTATCTAAAACTTCGCTGCCTTCAGGCTTTAACGCTCTTTTTTGTTCAATAACTGACCGTTAAAGACACGAAATCTAATCACAGATCAAACAGGACTCTCTCGCTCTCTAAAACCTCTTCTCTGAACTATCAATCTCTTCCTTTCTCTCTCTTCTTTCCCTTCTTGGATGGGATGGAGGTGAGAGCTTCCATATTGAGCAAAAAGTTAAGGTTCTTAGACACAATTCTAAAACCCTAATTTTCACGTAAAATAGCACAGATTCGAACGACACGGAACCAAAGATGTTTCCGTGGAACATCGCCAAATCGGCGGAGGCGATGTTCTCTCGGTGGGCAATAAAGAGGGTTTGTAAGTTCTTGTTGAAGAAGAAATTAGGGCAATTCATTCTGGGCGACATCGATCTTAACCAGCTCGATGTTCAGCTCGGCGCCGGCACCATTCAGCTCTCCGATCTTGCTCTAAACGTCGATTATCTCAATCAGAAGGTACGCATGGTTGTATTTGTGTTATTGAGTTTGAGGGTTTCTGGAGTTTGGACTGTGGAAAATTGTTAAATTCGTTAAATATTTTGCTATTTTTGAAGATAGTTTGGAGGCCGATTGTAATTAGATGGAATTTCTAAGAGTATTTTAGGACTTGAAAAGCTTGACGTAGAGTATAGTTTTTTGCTTTCCTTTTGGCAATTTGTGAATAATGTTTAGATAGACCATAGGCTTTGTATGACGGTGTTTTGCCATAAAAAAAAACGGTATGGAAATTTGTCACAAGATACGTCCATGGCTGAAGACAAAGATATATTGAGTCCATTGACATGATGGAGCTGTCTGTTGCAAATAGGAATGCGTACAATGTGCCTTGATTGACTACTGGACAGAAATTCTGCTTTTGATTAGAACTTCACCAACCTTGGATCATGCAGAATATTTCAGTAGCTTGAAGATAATTTGTTGATGACCTGCTCCTTGTTTGATTATTTATTCCAGTCAAGAGATGAGAAGTTAGATTTAGATGAAACCCTCTTATTAAAAAAAAAAAAAAAAGATTTAGACCACTAATTGATGATATTCAACTTAGTAAGCTTTATGCCCCACCACTTGATCCTCAATCCCTCTTCTTCAGTAAGCTCCTGTACTGTCATATACTTGGTTAGATATGAGGCAAACATGACCTAGCTCATAGCTTCAATCCACCTTCACTTTGTTTTTCCTCTTTTTTGTTTTTCAGTATCTTCAGTTTGGTCATTAGTTAGGATACACTGCACGTGAAATAACATATCAGATGGGTTTTGTCAATTGATTTTCCATATTCGATTTACCAAGACTGTAATCATTTCTTATTCTATCCCATTGTTGCCGCCTTCAGGGACCTAGCGCTTGTCCAGCTCGACATTCTCTTACCTTCATTTTTATGGAAGTTTCTTAACTGCCAAAGTCCGTATGGTAAAGCATACCTGGTCTTTATATAATTCATCTTCAGCTTGGCAGGGACTTTACAGTCAGATAACCCCCTCCTATTCTTTGGAGGTGATCAGGGTTAAGCCGCGTGGGAATACCTGTGAATAGCAAAGGACTATTCGCCTTTTGGGGTGGGCCTTTTTGTACTCTTAAGTCTCAAATCTATACGGGGATACTTATTCAGCATACTTTCTCTAAGTATATGGCACTATGGGCAATTTCCTCCTCAATTTTCTCATAGAAGCAATCAATCTAAGATATAGAAAATGATCGGTTATAGGCATCTCTTGTGATAAAATTCCAGTATATCTTAATTTTCTGTCTCTAAAAGCAAAAATAAATTCCAGGGATAATTATTCAGCATACTTTCTCTAAGTATATGGCACTATGGGCAATTTTCTCCTCAATTTTCTCATAGAAGCAATCAATCTAAGATATAGAAAATGATCGGTTATAGGCATCTCTTGTGATAAAATTCCAGTATATCTTAATTTTCTGTCTCTAAAAGCAAAAATAAATTATAGCTGTTTCAATTCTCAAAGTATTGCCAATTAATTTTCATGGAATTTACTGTTTTTCACATGACTCAGAAGCCTTGTGAGATTGAAATCCATTTAAAAGGATGCTCATCCATCCAACAAAAAAGGAAAAAGATAGAAACCCACATCAACTAAAATATTAGGTTGAAGGGAACAAGAGACCCATTCTGTTTCTTTTCTTGTGGAAAAAAAATTAGATTGCCAAACACTGATTTGGGTAGCTAGAGTCTCTATGGTACATATCACTCATTATCTATTTTTCAGGTGTCCTCATTTAATTTATTTTTTCCACCTATGATACAGAACATATCTCTTTCTCTTTCTCATTCCCCCTCCTTTCTCATGGTTATACTGCTCTCTTATACCTGTGTTTTCCAGTTTGGTGGAGCAGCAGTAGTGATTTTTAAAGAAGGTTCAATTGGCTCTTTGTTAGTGACAATGCCTTGGAAAGGTAAAGGTTGTGAGATTGAGGTGGATGAGCTTGAGCTCGTGCTTGCTCCCTGTGGGGAAAATGTATCTCAAGTTGGGGCTGAAACTTGTTTGTCCAGTCAAGATAGTAACTACTGTAGCAGTCCTGACTTGGGGAAGATCAATCATGAATTGGTTGACAACCCTGCAGCAACTGATTCTATGGATGTTCATGAAGGAGTTAAAACCATTGCCAAGATGGTAAAATGGTTGCTTACCAGCTTCCATGTTAAAGTTAAAAAATTGATTGTTGCATTTGATCCCCATTTAGCAGAGGAAAAGGAGACTGAGTTTTGCAGAACTTTGGTGCTTCGAATTACTGATGTGGAATGTGGAACATGCATTTCGGAAGATGCTAAGTTAAGTGTTGATGCAACAGTTAGTAACCTTTTTGGATTAAGCCGTCTGATAAACTTTGTAAAATTCCAAGGAGCAATACTTGAGTTCCTTCAAATAGATGGTGTTGACAACCAAACATCCCTTCCATGTGCTTCAGGAACAACTTTTGGTGCATGCTTTTCGGGATGCTGCATGTCAGACGCTACAACTCCAATTGTCACTGGGAAAAGAGGTGGATTTTCAGGGACTCTAAAATTGAGCATACCATTGAACAATGGTTCTTTAGATATCCGCAAAGTGGATGCTGATGCTTATATTGATCCTCTAGAATTAAGATTTCAACCTAGTTCCATCAAATGTTTCTTATATTTGTGGGAAATGTTTAAAGATACAGGTAAGAATAGAAAGGGTCGCATTCATCACCAGGCGATGGAGTCTGTTTATTTTAATGCAGCATCTCATTGCAATTCCTCAACTCTAGGTCCTTCTATGTTTGCTACTGATAAGGTGCCACCAAACAAAGAAAGTTTCTTCTCTGATTGCTTCCCGCCTATGGGGAAAGAAACGGTAACTGATGCCCTGCTGCCAGGGTCCCATCTTATATCAGACTGGGTGCCATCCTCTGTCGGTAGACACCAAAAAAACAGAATTGAAGAAGAACCAGATTTTGGCGCCAGGTTGGTATCCTTTCTTGTGCTTTCAAATTTCATGTCAAAATTGCTCTGAGATAAATATCACTTAAACTTAATTTTGTTGGTTAAGTATGATTTGTTGTAATAGCTTTTAATTGTAACAGTCCCATGTGCTATTAAGTTTTAGTGAGACCCTTTTT